ATAATACTCGTAATGATTGCAAAATAACACTCATAGAAACACAAAATAAATATTTTTTGCAATTAATAAGAAGTCGAATAAATATTTGTGGACTTGCGACTTCACAGTACGAAAGTACACAACGCTATGAAGATCAAAGATGGCTGCGCTTCCTTTATACTTGCTGGCAGCACCTAGCGGCTAAAGATGGAACTAAATTGACTGTCTATGGTTGGACATAGACAAGGAATTTAAGCTAAGTACACACTGCTTCTTCATAATACAATGCTGTATGTTTTCCAAAGGCACATCAATACACGATCTTTTTTCCCTAGACCGTGTAAGTCAATCGTGAACATTTGTTAAGTACGTATTTCATTAGAAAAAAAAATTGGTACCAGCCTGCGCAATTCAAACGACGACACGGTCGCATTAAAAATCTAATATATAAAATTCTCGTGTCACAATGTTCGTTCCCATACTCCTCCGAAACCGCTTGACCGATTCTCATGAAATTTTTTATGCATATTCAGTAAGCCTGAGAATCGGCTACTATCTATTTTTCATACCCCTTTAGGGTTGTCCACCCCTAAATTTTTTTTTTTTATTTGGACATTTTTTTTGTTATAATGAGGTATTATGTGGTTGAATGAGGTTTTGTTATTTTTATTATATATTCCCTCATCGTTCACAGCACTACATACCTCTTTCACTCATTTACCACATCCTTACAAACTTACAATAAGTTAGTTTTTTTTTCTACACTAGAAATTCCCTAGAAATCTTATATATGGCAAAACAATGTTTGCCGGGTCAGCTAGTACTTTATAAAAAATACATTAAGCGTACAAAGCTTACGATTAAATGAAGTACGAATTCAACATTAAATACATGTAGACTCGTGGATGAATAATGCTAAGCAAATAAATAATATCTAATGTTTCGCAAGATTGCATGCGACACAACGCAACATCATCATTACAAAACCAGGGCTGTTAATGTATCAAATTTAATAACTACCTACATCATAATTTATACACACTCATGCGAGTTCGTTCACCTTTGTGTTAAATAAAATAAATAATAGTTTAAAAAAAACTAACAAAACACGCTTTTATTGAAAAACCAACTAAAAAATAGAAAATAAATTTTAATAAATTTGAATTAAAAATAGTGTAAGAAAAAATTATTTTATTGTAACAAAAGCGTAGGGTGCATGGTATCAGCAGTTAAGTTTTTTTAAATTGTTATTTATTTTTCAATTTTTAGTGGAATTTCAATTCTTTCAATGTTTTTTTTTTAATGTTGAATTGTCATCGAATAAGTATACCAAATTTCGAGTTAATCCGACGTTTTGAAGGGGGTCCAAATCATGTTCAAAGATTCCGTTACATACTAACATACATACGTCTTAAGCTAATAAAAGCGTATTAATATCTCGAAGGTAGGCGTTTCGGAAGCGAAAAAAACGTTACTTAAATACGCGACCATAAATGAAAAGCAGTTATATTTGTTATGTAATTAAAAGCAATTTAACGGTGTAATCTTTAATTTTTTTATTGTTATCATATTATTTTCAACGTTCCCAATAATCCACTGTTTTCGTGGCCACAAACGACTAAGATGCATTCAGCATTCAGCATCAGCATTTGTCTTTCGTGCTACCTACCGTCTATTTCCCTATAAAAATAATATTTGTGTATTATAGATTTTTACGTTTCATTTTTCATTCTTTTCATTAGATAAATCAAACGCACTTCGTGTTGGGAAGTTTCTTTTCGAGAAACCTCATTGTAAGAAGCAAAGGCAGGTGGTTTTTTTTACAATCTATTCTAGCAGCCCCGAGGGGTTATTCGAGATTCACCGAACTAGTAGGTGAGCTCACGGCGCTCAAGCCTGACGTTGTTGCTAACACGAACCCTAGCAAGAGCCGTGCTTCGCAGAATCTACCACCGGATTGGAAACGTGACCCACTGAGAAAATCCGGCGAGAAACTCAGTGGCTTGTGTTTATAGGTTAATTTACTCGTCGAGCCCTTCGTCGCAAGCGACAGGTTCGGCGAGGACGGCGACCGGTGCTTGAGGTACCAAAAAGCATTGTTAGTGGATCGGGAGGATCCGTAATGACGTGTTTAACGCGACGTCGACTGTTTACCATTCGGTCCACAGGATCGGGTATGTAAGCAGGTGGAAGACGATCGTAGTGATGGTATCGCTGGTTCAATAGAACAAACGTTTACGTCGCTGGGCCGGTTGTCGTCAGCACGACGATTCTAGACCTCTAGGTCCAAGAGCTATCCGTAGCCAGTCTAGACGCTGCGACTTGCTTAAACGGATCTAATTAGGTTGGTGGCGCAAACCTCTAAACACTTACAATAAGTCTTAATAATACCACTTAATACAACATATTTCATCTGACAGCCCTGGAATATAGTGCGTATCACGTTAAGACTATTCAGCATTCTAGTATTGTAATACAAATATTTTGTTTGTTGAGACAATATTATTTTGCACTTAAATTTATAATAACGTTATTAATTGTATATATTAATTAATTTACGACTAGTACATCTCAGAGATTGCTTGCTTTATTATATTGATTACCCTCACGTCCTAGCGAGTTCGACAGAATTTGAAACCAGGAGTACAATTACATTGCGTATGTGACAGTGATCTTACCTATTCAACTACTGAACACAAAAATATACTTTTAGGGTTCCTCTAGTGCACATAATAACTTCAATGAGGATCTAACACCGAAGGATCTAACATACATGATCGCCAACCTATCTATACTAGTCGATAAAAAAATTTACAGTAAAAAGTAAGTCATAATTTAAATAGATGAGTGAATGTCATTGCACTACGACACATAGAAGCCCGATCCAGAGGACTAAATGGTAAATAGACGCCCTCGCCCAAAATACGTCACTTCGGAGCCTCTCGATCCACTCTTTCTCCCTCCTCGTCGAGTTCGTCGTGAAAATTAATTCACAGACATAGCCCACTGCGGTTTCTCACCGGATCTTCTTAGTGGATCGCGATTCCGATCCGGTCGTAGATTCTGCGAAGCACGGCACACAGGGTGTAAACAAACCGTTCCCGTATTTTCAGAGTTGCGAGAAAACTTCCAGCCCACAAACGAAAAACAATATTGATTCGTTCAAAAAGCCTTAGTATGTGTGATTTCGAGTAGCACATTGTGCGCAATGTAACGCGAAGAGAACCACTAAGTCCTCCCCCTGCGCTCCCTCGATTATGATTACAATTACTTTACATTACGGTACAAAGAAGTTTAATTAAATACAACACGTTTAGGAAATGCCAGTTCCCCCATAGGTCCTCTTATAGGGGAAATACACCTTGCATAGATTACATACTCAAAACCGCTGGTTTATTATTACAATGCTTGAAGCAATCCCCGTCAGACACAGAACTGCAAAAATAAACTCAATTTCTTTCAACAAATGTAATAATTTCCTTTCAAACAGCACTTCGAACCTCCTCAAACTATTTCGCTCTAGAAAATGGGTTACGTCAATTGACGTCATCGAAAATGAAAGGTATTCTGTTAACTTATGACGCATATTTGAGAAAATTCCAGACGAAGCAATCGTCGATTCGATCAGTGTGACTAAAGAAAGTTAAAAAAAAAGTAAAATTGATGTTAAAATGAATACATTAAATACAAAAAAAAGTACAATGGGCGATCTTATTGCTAAGAGCGATCTCTTCTAGGCTACCAGTCATCGTTCTCGTCGAACCCGTCGCTTGCGACGAAGGGCTCGATGAGTAAATTAACCCACAGACACAGCCCACTGAATTTCTCGCCGGATCTTCTCAGTGGGTCGCGTTTCCGATTCGGTGATAGATTCTGCGAAGCACGGCTCTTGCTAGGGTTCGTGTTAGCAACGTCGTCAGGTTTGAGCCGCGCGAGCTCACTTACTAGTTAAGATTACGCTGAAATAGTCTCTCAAGGCTATCAGCTTAGGTAGGAAAAAGAAATCTAGGCTACTATCAGGTGGACAAGAATTACTTCAGGAAATAATAATAATCCATTCTAATAATAATATCCAGATCGTATTCATGAACCCAAATATTTGAGGCTTTACGTTTCGAAGCTACAAGTACTGGGTATGTATGTATCCGTACCTTATCGTTTTTTGTAACTATATTAATACGGTACCTAGTTTTATTATTATTGAGCAATTTATGGGCATAAAATATGGCCTGATGGTCTTTTCGGCTTTACCAAGGCTGTTGGACGAACTCTAGGGGCTCTGGTATCTACTATTGGTATCTATTTTTTTATTGCTTAGATGAGTGGACGATCTCACAGCCTACCTGGTGTTCAAGTGGTTACTGGAGCCCATATACATCTACAACGTGAATGCGCCACCCACCTTGAGCTATAAGTTCTAAGGTCTCAAGTATAGTTACAACGGCTGCCCCACCCTTCAAACCGAAACGCATTACTGCTTCACGGCAGAAATAGATAGGGTGGTGGTACCTACCCGCGCGGACTCACAAGAGGTCCTACCATCAGTAAGAATTATTGAAGGCGTAGTTTCATAATTACTTTTCGTGTGGAACAAACGCAACCTTACTCAGCAAACTCAACATGTCCTCCACTACACCACCTTTTGGACGGTATAGTGTGCTATAATCTCACGTATCGCATTTATTGACTGGTGGGCAACGGATAAACTATTTGCTGATGTCTATCTTCTTCTTCTTAGTCGAATACTTCATTGCTGGAGGTCGTGTCCCTGAAAGCCCTTCGTGGCTCTTTGTACCATCAGCTTCCATTTGCTTCGGTTTTCGGCTTCTCTCAGGGCGGTCGCAACAGAGAGTCCAGTGAGCGCAGTTATCTGATCTGACCAACGGTTTGGTGGCCGGCCGGCGGGTCTTTTCCCTTCTGCCTTGATGTCTATAAGCGTTATCAATCGCTTAGGTGGGCCATAAGCTCGTCTGCCTTCGAAGGAAACAACAACAAAAAAGAGATTTAAGCGCTGGAATTACCTGAAGGGTGTATACTCTCATGACAGACGGGACAGCTGACCGGCACCCTGGCTTCATATATCTCGATATTCAGGTATTGCCGCAGACACGGCTCGCAGCAGCGGTGGGAGCACCACGCCAGCCGTACCGTCGCGCTCGCGTTCAATGTCGACAAGCATAGCGGACACTCGAGCAAGTCACCCTGTTGACAATTACGATAATAAAGTTAATAAAATTCAACTAGTCCTCAAGCAAGTCACCCTGTTGACAATTACGATAATAAAGTTAAGAAAATTCAACTATTCCTCAAGCAAGTCACCCTGTTGACAATTACGATAATAAAATTAATAAAATTCAACTAGTCCTTTGATCATATAATAGTCCTGAAATGAAGCCACCTAAACATTTAAATTTTTGGGTTATCATCGCGAACTTAGCACAGAAGGCAAACACGCCTTGGGTAGAACACCAGCCAAACGGTCAGCCAAATGGTGTGCTTAGTGTCCATTGATTACGCAGAGTCGTTCATGGACGTCAGCAAAGCCAAGGGCAGAGCCAAGCCTCTACCTACCGCTTAATACTCCTGACAATCCTCGTTTGAAGAAGGACATGTCATAGCGCTCAGAAAACACCGTGGAGGGGAGCTCATTCCAAAGCCGGATGGTACGTGGCAAAAACGATCTCTGGAAACGCACTGTGGATGACCGCAGTGGCTCCTGGTAGTATGGATGAACTCTATTTCGGTGGCGGACGATGCGATGGAAAAATCGAGAAGATGATGGTGAGATGATGATGATGATTATGAAAAATGGATTTCACGTAAGCCCTATCCATATTTGATTTTTCATCTATAATATAATAATAATAACAACGAATACCATGGACCCGAGATAGAGAGATGTTTTATCACTCTCTGGTTCTATACCATTTACAACTTTATCACGGAACACGTCTAGTTATTTGTAAATAAGTATTTTTAATGCGTATTTATTAGCATTGTATTTAACGCATCAGAATAAAGGAGCTATTTTATTTAAGCGTGTGTTTTTATTTCTTAATCGCAAATGTGTAATTGAAGATGGATTCTTTTAAAATGTTACGCCACCGAGGTGATTGACTCATTCGAAGTAAATCGAAACTGGAACATAGTTATTTCAATGTAAAATTTTTGAAGTATTTTTATCACAGTAGGTATGTAATAGGTTTTTCTCTTCGTCTGCGATGCGGTATTAATGTGGTTTTTTAACTTGGATTTCCCTGCTAAGCTTCTGTGAATACGGAAATTATGTAGGCGGATGTGTTTTTTATGTGTTTTATCTTTTTTAATACTGTAAATCGGCCGACGAATTCACTCTCCATTTAATATTAAATATTTACCAAAGTGCATCATAACCATGCTCGTTCACCTATCCTGGATAAACTCGAAATGATCATCCAGGTCAGAATAAATTTCCTCAAAAATTATATTGATAAAAGAAAACTGTTAAAAATAAAGTACGTCTGTCAATAATAATTTCGTTACTTTATTCCAGAAAATATGACGCATAAGACGAGCTCGTCTGAAAATTAAATAAGGAAACACAATATTTTCCTGACTGTGGGTATTCCAATTTTTTTTACAGTCTACCGATGTCTTAAATCAGCGGTTCCTGACACTCTTTTGCTTTTATTAAAAGTTTGAATGAAATAAAAAAAAAGTATGTCGGTACATATAGTAGGTATAAGTATTGTTACGCGCTGGGGCTTGGGATAAATAAAACTTTCACCGAAGTACAAATTAAAACTATATTTAACACTTATTACACTTAAAGAACACTTTATAATTCGCAATTCACTTCTTCCGCTTCGCTTCAGGTGATTCGTTCGCTGTTTCGCTTCGAATAGAAGCGCTTCCTGACTGCTTTCGTGTCATCTTTGCAACGCTTTTATAGTCGATACGATATCTCTACAATTATCGAGAACATTCTTAGCAACACAAGTCGTTTCGATATGGGTTTCCGCTATTTGATAATAGACGGCGTTACACTTTTCGAGCGTTCTCGATATTACTAGTTCTGTTGATACTCGTTTCTGCTATTCGACGACAGATGGCGTTATTCTTACCGGCGTATGAATATGCAGGTATGTCGAGTATTAAATATTACTCTGTATTTCAACGTCACACTGCTCGTCTGGTTTCATCTGGTTACTGGAGCCCATAGACACCTCACCATCTTGAGACATGAGGTCCAAATGACAATTTTTATAATTTAACGTCTGTTTCAACCCCATGCGCCCTACTATCGGTTTAATGTAAATTTTATAGATTTACACGATGTTCATGATAAGTACATATTTTTTTAGATTAATATATGCAGTTTAAAAACAAAAACAAAAATCCCTTAAATAACAAATCGAACTAACAATTAATTTCATATTTTGTTTATCCTGTTGACACTGGTTACAAGATATTAGAGCGAAGTTATAAAATTGTTGTTTTGTCATCGGTTCCTGATGCGTGTGCAAATTGTTAAATTTATCTGACGTTTTGATGTCCTTGAAAATTGTATTGAAATACAACAAGCTAACAAAAATGTTAAAAATGTGTTATACGCTCGCTGTCTGCCCCGCTTGGGAGGTGCAGCGCCGTGTCCTGGTCGCAAAGATAGGACCTGACTTGTCGCTGCCTGGCGTCGTGGCGTCGATGCTTGGCAGCGATGAGTCATGGAAGGCTATGCTCGACTTCTGCGAGTGCACCATCTCGCAGAAGGAGGCGGCGGGGCGAGTGAGGGAAAGCTCTCCTCACTACGCAGAAACCCGCCGCCGCCGAGCAGGGGGTCGGGACCGGGGTCGTATCCGTGACCTGGCCCCCTAAGAGCTAGGGGTCCCACCCGTTTTGTGCGGGGAGGGACCCAGACGTGGGGTGGCGTGCTCTGCACGCTCACCCGCAATAGGAAGCCGGGTGATGGTAGACCGCGTTCCCCCGACCGCTCTGGGGGAAGGTGTAACGCGGCGCCATCAAAGCGGGCTCTTGGCCCGCTGAACGAGGGAACCGGTGGTCGTGTCGCTGGCGGCCACCGGTCCGGCGTCCGTGGGACGGTGGGATGGATGTAATGTGCTCTGCGTCAACCCTGTCCCGCCGTTTCAATAGCCCCGACTGGGCTCCGGCCCGGTCCGAGGTAGGGCGCCGGTTGTGAGCGGCAGGAGTTTTTAGTGAGGTTCAACTCCCACATACCCCACCTGCCGCGCGGGTGGGGATCCGGCGATTTTCCCCTGTGGAAAAAAAAAAAAAAAAAAAAAAATTTGCTCCAGGACCGTGCGTTTTTCTGAGTAATACAGATGGTTCTTATTTCAAAACAGTTCAATGATAACAATATAAAAACATTGAATAGAATATTTGCCTCACGATTGCTCTGGTATAAATCCAAGATCATCGGGAACCAGTCGATCATATAAACTTCTTCGACAACGGAGATAATAACGAGAGTCATATTATACAAAGGAAAATATAATATACAATGAACCTTTTGTCTGCGCAAATCGCCAAGCTTTATCGGCTTTGGTGAAAACTGCAACACGAATTCAAGTTTTATGATTCTATTTTACGTTCTCGTGAATGCGTGTAGATCAGAAGCATTTGCATTCACTATGATAATATAATAATACTAGCTGTGTACCCGTCCGCTTCGCCGGGCATTTCAAATTAACATTATTATTTCTCACCCCCACAAAGATTCTCATTATTAACGCCCCCCCAACTGGTTTAGGGAGTCCAACACTCATATAAATATTAGCCTATCCATTAAGTACATGTATTTTCTACATGGATACCAAGTTTCAAGTCAATTGAATGCATGGTTCAGTAGTTATAACGGAACATCCGTAAAAACCACTGTAGATTTATATATTAGTATAGATGTAACGAAGTCAAACAAATTTGAATGCATTTTTCTTTTGCTTTACATCGCAGTCTATGGCCTAGTATATATCGTGTGTGAGAGAGGGTAGATCTAATATTGTGTCTTATAAAAATCTACCTACCGACAATAGCGAAATTTATATTGTCCTTTGACACATCGCATGATCTGAACATCGATTTAGTATCATTAAGCTTAATTTAACAATTGTTCAAACTTCGTCTTTCCTACCACAGGTGGGCGGAAGAAACACGCGTCACGGCATAACTCGTTCACCCATCAACATCAAAACAAAAATAGGATTACAAGAAAAGTCAATGAACTGTAAAGTACATGCAAATAAAATTCTAACGCAACAAGAAAACCGACAGCGAAAACCGACTTGCATTCACTATTATTGCGTGACGACTTTATAGATTCGTTTGAGCTCTGTAGCGTGTTCGCGGTCACGCACACCGTTTTAAATCATAAAGAAAACATTCTAGATTCGTTTTCGTCTCGAAGAAAGTGACTTTTTAATTAATCCCCATATCAAGATAAGATGAAGAAGAAGATAAGATGAGAACTCCATTGAGCGGTTGGTGGTGCAAGGGAAAGTCGAGGGCAAAAGATCTCGCGGACGATCTCCAACACGATGGACCGACCTCATAAAATCTGCGACTCACTCCAACATAAATGTTTGCTCTCACTCTGCGAAACATCGTGCCACATGGCGTCGCATCGCGAGAGCATCGGTATCGCAGGATCCGACTGATGCATGACCACGACCACTCTGTCAACAGTCTGTGTTGAAATATCAAGATAAAGTTAATTGAACGATGATTGCACGCGAAATTTTAGTTCAGTTTGTCAGGATAATTGCAACAGCGTAATGGTTCGATAATCGGGGAATTGGATCGAATCAATTGCAACGGTTTGTTGCAATAAACAAACATCTAATTAAAGTGTTTTCGTGCTGCGTATTAAAACAACGATTGAACACAATGAAAACATGTTTTTTGTAGATTGTAGATTAACGGATGAGATCATCGATCAATCGTCGTATTAAACGAATAGGTCCTCAACTTTAGATGACATAGTGAAATATTCTATTGGTACCTACTTACAAGGTAAGACAAAAAATACAGATAACTCAAAGGGCAATGGAAAGGAGACGTTTAAATATAAAGCTGAGAGATAGAGTTGGAAGCATATAAATTCGGAAAATAACCAAGATAAAGGAGCTCTAAGCTTCTCTCAGTTTCAAATGAAGTTGGGCTAGTCATGTTGGGAGATACGATGACAATCGATGGACAATTAACACTAC